TTCGGACGTCCTCCATTACTGCTCAGTCAGCAGACTGGCGGTGGGCTCCTGGGTGGTCCTGCAACCTCAAAAGTAATATTATTAAATTAATTAATTTTAATTAATTTGTGTTTAATTAATATTAATTTATTTGTAGTCATGTACATGCACAGAATGCTAATCAAATTTTAAAAGTATTATTTATATCAGTTTTTTTATGATTTCTGGTGGCCATTTTGTTTACAAACTTGTATATACACGTACTTGTACAGTACATGTACATGTGGTTCTTTAAATACATGTATACATTTACCTGTCAATATTTAACTCAGTTGCACTTATACATGTATGTATAGTATTAGGTATTGTTATATAAGTACATGTATATACATGTACATGTACATGTACATTTATTGCATATTGCTTATAAAGGTGCTATATAATATTTTTCATTATCTCTAATTATTAGTTTTTAATTATTATTTTTATTGTCCTTATAGGGTATTGCTGTTCCTCAGCGTATCAGTTCATCAGTTTCCTCGTCCCAGACCACGCCCCCTCACTCTGAGGGCGTGTCCAGTATCATAGCATCATCCTCATCTCCTGTCGGAGGGAAGGCGGGGACTAATGTTGAGACCACACCCCCTACCATACCATCAGTCAGTAGTATTGATACTTCAACTCCTAGCTCTACCAGTAAGAGAGAGAGAGAGAGGGAGGGAAGAGAGAGAGAGAGAGAGGGGGGGGGAGGGAAGAGAGAGTATGTGATAGTACATGTACATGTACATGTCGGAAATGATATACTTTTGTGGTGGTTGATTTTGCTCCAATTTTGTAAATATACTCTTTTATTAATAACAATTCGTGTATAGTAGAGAATTGTGAATTTCTTGATTAGAATTATTTTTCAATACATTAATAAAAGAATTGGCATACTTTTGTGTGAATTTTTGATTAAAATGGTGTACCAATAGATAATTGATTTGATCAATTTTGGGAATTTTAAAAACCTCTCTCCCTCTCCCCCAGTCTCTCCATTACAGTATTCAGTATCAGCAGTGGATTCCTCCAGCAGTCGTCCGTCAGTTAATGATACTAGTGCTCCAGTACCACCCCATGAGGTCACTAGCACTACCAACGACTCATCACGTGATAATGAGGAGACTGAGGAACCAGCTGCTGGGAATAAGAACCCAACCAGTCAACAGACTGGAGGAGGAGGAGGAGGAGGGCAGAGGAAGAAACAATCAGGAAATAGAGAAAGAGGAACTGGTGAGTTTACTACATGTGTATACAAATTACATATGCAGTGATCTTTACAATGCTTAAGATGTTTATCTACATGTACAAGCTTGCATGTTCAGCTTTTGGAGTAACTTTTAAAATTTATAAAAAATCCAATTTTGATAGGAATCAGCTCAAACTTTCTACGCAACATAAGAACGTGTATATGTATCAGGAAATGTAATAAAAATTGAGAATTCTTTACTTTTCATTTTTGGCAAAATTTGGCCCGTGACCATGTACTATAGTACAGGAACTTTTGTCTGATTTTGGAGTAACTTTAAAAATTCATAAAAAATCTAAATTTGATTGGAATCAGCTCAAACTTTCTACGCAACATAAGTACATGTATATGCATCAGAAATGGTAATTAAAATTGAGAAATTTTTAATTTTCATTTTTGGCAAAATTTGGCCCATGACCCTGTACTATAGTACAGGGACTTTTGTTCGATTTTGGAGTAACTTTAAGAATTCATAAAAAAATCTAATTTTGATCGGAATCAGC